TCCCTCCTCCCGCCCTCCCCAAGCGGAGACCAACTACCCCCCATGCCCGTCGTCTCCCCCTTTCCAGGCACGACCGCCTCACCCATCCGCGTGCCCTTCGGCTCGGGCCGCGGCGAGCTGATCGACCTCCCCGGCCTCGCGCGAAGCGACCTCGAGTACCACATCACGCCGTCCCAACGCTCCTCCCTCATCATGAAGGCGCGGGTCCTCCCGGAGCAGCAGGTGCTCAAACCGGGCCAGTCCCTCCTCCTCGGCGGCTTCCTGCGCCTCACCCCGCGCAACACGGCCGCCGCCGGCGACGACGAGCTCGTCTTCCTCGCGTACGCCTTCACTCCGCTCGACGCCCACACCACCGCCACCGACAAGGCCGTCGCCGTGCAGACCCAGGCCCCCGACGCGCCCCACGTCGAGAACATCGCCCTGCCGGGCACGGGCGCCAAGATCCGTCACGCCGGCGCCTTTCAGCTGCGCTACGATGTGACGAAAGCCCGCACCGGCCCGCTCACGCGCAAGGAGGCGGTCGGGTTGAAGGTGGATCAGCTGCCGTACCGCGTGCTGGGGCTGGACATCCTGGTGGAGGGGTGTGGGTGGGTGGAGGTGGTGGTGCAGGTGCGCACGCGGCAGCTGTTCCCCAGTGGTGGTGATGGGGGGTGGGGGGATGGGAATATGCAGACGCTGGATCTGCGGCCGGAGCCGGTGAATGTGGAGAAGAGGAGGTCGAGGGAGGAGGAGGAGAGGGGGGTGGAGGCGAGGTGGCCTGTCATTGATGTGTATAGTCCGGAGGGGGCGTTTATTGGGTATCGGTCGCCGATGAATGCGTGGATGTTGAACAAGCCCAAGCGGGATACCAGGGCGCGGCCGAGGAAGAGTATGAAGGGGGCGAAGAAGAGGGAGAAGAGGGAGAGGAGGGCGAGGGAGGCGGCGGATGTATAGGAGGAGTGGGCGTAAGGATGCCTTGTTTTTTGGATAGCCTGGCTGTATGTATGTACCATGACTGTATGATATTGTAAACATGACTCGATATCCCATGAAAGATTTGCAATGCAAGACCGGGCAATTGGATTGAGTAAGATACCCGGTGGGTGCCGGAGAGGGGGGTATAATCTCTATTTGTCAACCATGGCGAGCCTTTTCAGCCGACCTCTGCCGTCTATCCAGACCATTTTATGTAGTACATGTCATCATACACTGTATCTTACTTAAATGCCACCCGCGAGCGCCTCCTCCACCAACTCCTCAAAACCCCGGCGCGCCCTGGAACCTGCCCTTATCGTCATACCTCGCCTCTGCTAACAGTCAGCAACCACCCTCACCTTTTGATTCATAGGAGGAGTAGAGCAAACAAAAAAGGACTTACTAAAGAAGGTATAATTTAGCGTCACGGTATGCACATTGCGCATATTCAAATCCTTCAACAAATCCGGATCCAAATAAAAAAACACGGGCATATCCACCGTCTCCCCGGCCGCCAACCGCTGCTCCTCAAAGCAGAAGCACTGGATCTTGCTGAAATACGGCGCCGTCTGGGCCGGCGTCACGGAATACGTCGCCACCCCAACAATATCCTTGTCCGAGTTGTTGGTCGCCGTGTAGAAGGCGAGGGCCGTCTCGCCGGGCAGCACGCGCACCTCGCGCTGCTGCGGCGTGAACTTCCACGGTAGCACGTCGGACACGGACGACGAGAATGTCACGCGGATCCGCCGCGCGTCCGTCACGGGCTCGAGCCGCGAGGCTAGGTCTTCGGGGGAGCCGTCCCCGCTGCCCGCGGTGCCGTGTGCCCGTACGGGCTGTCCGCCGTAGCCGGTTGTTTGGCAGATCTCTGGTGGGGGATTAGCGGCCAGTGCCGAATATACTTGTAGGGAGAGTGAAGGTTTGGGGGGGGAGGAGAGGGGGGCCAGACCATCTTGTACATGGGTACCGAGCCATATGACAGCGCGACCGTCCCTAGGATGATGCTGAGGGTGTAGTACCTGCGACAGAAACACACCGGTCAACAACCCTCCCTTACGACACCACCACCACCATCACCACCGCCATAGAGCCAGTCAACCACCCACCGACTCCAGACCGAAAAGGAAAGAAAAGTAAGTCCCTACGCAGTCGACCGATTCCGCCTCTTATACACCTCGCTCATCTTATCCATCCCCGGCGCCGCCCCGTCCGGTATCCTCCTCTGTTGTTGCGACTGCCCATGCTGCTGTTGCTGCTGCTGTTGGCGTCTGGGGAAGCTCCGTGAAAAGAAACGGTTCGAGCCGGATCTAGCCGCAGCTGCTACTGATGGCTGCTGCCATTGGGCGCCGGCGCGGCGGCAAAAGAGGCAGGACCAGCTGGACGAGGCTTCGGTGGCCACGCGCTGGGCGAAGCGCGGTATTGGATTCATTGTCGGGGTTGTGTTGTGAGCTCGGGGAGAGGGGAGGGAGCGAGTTCCCTGTGGGTGGAGGTGGGTATGTTTTCTTAGGGAACGATCATCCGATCTGGGAACGGAGTTTAAGGTTGGAGCTTTGGGGGGGAATTGGAAATCTTGGCGGGTGTTGCCGGCTGGTGGGGCTTGGCTCATACCCAAGCCATCACTGCGTGGTAAGAAGGGACTCAAAGCTGGGAAAAGGGGTATATGTCATTCATTCGTAAATCTCATGTGAAGTGCTATCGCTACATATATTTGGGGCAATCCAAAGTCCTGTCCAACCCATCCATCCCATACAACCTAATGTTCCTTCTCATGCAACCGACCGTTGATACCCCCTGGACCACTGACCCTCGATGCCAACCTCCGGGTCGTCGTCGCTCTGCTGGCCATATTCAACAGCCCATCCAGAATCTCAATGATGAACATCTGGATAAGCGCAATCAACAATCTAAAGATATAGTCCAGAAGCGACAGCCTAGGCTTCTCCCCGCGGCTGCAAGTCGAGTCCTTGAATTCGAACGGGATGGTCGCGCCGAGGTGCTCCACCGCCACGCGCAGGCCGCTGCTGAAGCCGTCCTCGTGGAACCCGTACTTGGTCCACGCTCCAGCGTAGCTGATGCCCCGGGTGTTCTGGATCGAGTCGAGATGCTGCTGGGCGCGGATGGTCTCCGCGTTGTAGACGGCGTGACGGTAGCTGTACCACCCCTGGACCGTTTTCGGGTCTGGCTCGTGGAGAGGGTTGAGCGTCACCAGAACGTTACCGAATGCGTCGCGCGGGATGTGCTGCAGGGCGTTCATGTTGTACGTCAGGGACACCTGGTTGATGTTGCCCTTGCCGTTGGGCGACGCCGACCTGGTCATGTAGTTCCAGCTCGACCAGGCGGTTTTTGACCTGGGCATCAGGGAGGTGTCCGAGTGCAGGACCGCCACGTTCGGCGAGGTGCGGAAGTTCTTCAAGATTGACCTCTCCTCCTCGGTTGCCGAGTTGCGGATGATCGAGTACGCCTGGTCGCCGTGGGTTGCCAAGATGACGTGGTCGAACACTTCGGAATTGCCGTCCTGGGTATGCAAGCGCACACGCCCGTCGGCCTCGTTGGTGAGCGCTGTCACAGTCGTGTTGAGTCGCAGGTGGTTTGGCGGAAAGCCCTGGAAGACCTTGTCGATGTACGTCTTGGACCCCGTGGAAATGGTCAGCCACTTGGGCCGGGCGGCAAAGGTCGAGAGGAGATGATGGTTCCACCTACAGGTTGTCAGCGTTATCAAAACTTTGCCCTATACCGTGGGCTACTCACAAGAAACGGACTAGCGTCGCTGCCGGGAAGTCGAGGGCAAACTTGTCTGGGCTTGTGTTCCAAGCGGCGGCCGCCATGGGGATGAGATAGTTGTCACGGAACGCATTCGAATAGCCTTCTCGGTCCAGGTACTCCCCGATTGTCTCCTCGGTTGGCTCCTTCGCCTTCAGAATATCCAGGGCAAACTGGTTGAACCGGAAAATATCGAAGAGCATGCGCCACATTCTCGGCGAGAAGAGATTCCCGCGCTGGCAGAACAGGGCATCCAAGCTCGAGCCTGCCCACTCAAAGCGGCCTTGGTCCCTCGACACCGAGAAGCTCATCTCGGTGGGGTCTGTCTTGACGCCGATCCTCTTGAGGAAATTGAGAAAGTTCGCTGCTCAGGGGTCAGCACAGATCATGGCTGACCGGATGGCATCACTTACGGTACGTTTCCGAGTTCATGACGATGAAGCCAGTATCGACCATCGTCTTGTACTTCCCATTGGTAAACTCTACCGTTTGAGCGTGCCCGCCAAGGCGCCCACTGGCCTCGTACATGTAGACATCGTGAGGGCTGCGGTTCAGTGCCCACAGGGCCGCGATTCCAGCGCAGCCACTGCCGACGACGGCAACCTTCTTCCTGGGGTAGGGGTCAGCCCGGTTCAACATGGTCGTACATGTGCCAGAGCATGAATTTGAGGTGTGGAGAGAAAAGTTTGAGCGGGGTGGGACGGATGGGGTGTATAAGTCTGTAAGCAGGCCTAGATGGGCTAGATGACCACGGAGGGGTACTGAGACATATGAAAGTCAGGCTGCCCGGCTCAAACGGATCGCCAGTGGGTTGTTCTGGAAGACTGGCACCAGGAGCTGTTGGGCGTCGAATTGGCGCGCGTTTGGGCGCATCATAGTTGGCAAAGCCAGGCCCAGTCATGTTCAGCTGGCCCGGGCCCAGCCCCAAGAACAGCGAAGCGCAGATCTTGATGCAGGCCGCATGCGGGTCGCAACCTAAGCGTCCAGCAGTTTGCCGAGGCGTGTCTTCCATTCCAGCCACTGACGTTTCGAGAATTAACGGAGTCGTACCCGCCAGAGCAGCCTCGGATTCCGACTTACATGGGGGCTTCGTGTGCCGACGTCTTGGCTGTGGGATACAAGCACTTGAAAGTCGATCTCAAGAATAGCAGATATGGTGTATACAAGGTGGATAATAATGGCTAGCAACACTTGATATCGACATTTGATAGATCGCAGGCAAATGTGTCATAGACAATGTGCCATAAACAGCGAGTCATTGTTTTAAGCCCTACTCTGATAAAAACTTTGTCCATGGCAGTGTCGTGTGAGCAGCCCATGACATCCGCATGGGATTTGAAACGGGGTGGGAACATTTGGTGAGCCCTCGCGTGCGTGTCAACCAAGAAGTTCATGCAACGAGCCCCTTACTAGGTTGAAGAAGGCAAATGCAAGACACTGACGGCTTGGGGAAGGAGCTGATGTTGATGCGCAGCATGACAAAAGCCGGGGGTTGCCATCAGAGAAAATATTCTGTGGTTGGGTCAGAAAACAAGGCGCAGAAAGGCCTCGGTCCAATCGCACTTGCCCACATTGCTGCTGGCCCTGTCAAGCCATGGCTCCCGCTTTTCCTGGCCAGCGGGACGCCACAAATCACACCATATGCGGAAGAGCTTTCTGCAAAGGTCTCAAACTGGTAGGGACCCAGATCAACTAAGCACATTGCAACAGTGTCCTCTCGCTATTAGGAGACTGGGGCAAGAGAAGTGTTGTGTGTGTGGCGAATAACAAGAGGTAGCCCAGTGCGCCATATATAAGAGCATAAAAGGTGAAAAGGTATACCATCAGTCACTTTGGCGGAGTGGTTAACGCGCTGCCCTGCTAATTCACAGTTAGCTGCGAGGCAGTTCCTTCGGGAGCGTAGGTTCGAATCCTACAGGTGACGTTTTTTGTCTCGGTTAGAAGTGTTTTTCCTTGTTGCTTTGCATTTTTGATGCCGAGTCGTAAAACATTTTTGGGTACAAAAGATTGGCAAAAAAATCCACGATAAGGGGCTGAGTGGTGCTTGACACGTATCGGCCAAGATTGCCTTGGGTCAACACCCAGCCCCTGGCGTGAGTTATTCAACATCAGTCATGGCATGCCTGGAGACGGCTCGGAGAGCAAAAATGGTCGCTGAACCGTGCTTGTGCGACAAGAAGCTTCTGACAGCTGGACGAACAACCATTGGGACGCCTCGGGTAATGTTATATCACACCCAACTCAAATCATGAACCAGTCTGGAAATGTCGAGGCCAAACGGAATCGCTCACTCATCGCCAGCCCAGAAGGGCAAGCATAGCAGCAATTCTTGGGACGCCGATTCCTCTACCCGGTTAATACAACCCGATGTACACACAAAGTCCTGGAATTCCAGTTCTCCGAAACATCGGGCCTAAATTCTGCGTCTCCGGGGATAAACTTTCTGAAGAAGAAAAAGAGAAAAGAAAAAGGTGGGGAAGGGTCACGGCCGGCAAACTTTTATTTCATGGTCATACTGTGTGGCTTTCACAGTGTGGTCTTAGTGGCACTGTCCTAATTTCATGGCCAATCAGACATTCAAGTAAACAAGCCGTTGACCCACAGACCTTGACAACTGCTCGCATCGTGGAAGTACCAACGAGGAGGTTCCTTGGTTGAAGAATGAGGAGAATAGTGGCTAATCACCAACCAATATAAGAGTCTTAATGTTACTCGTTACCTGAGTTGCTCTCGTGTGCACATCAAGAGTCCAAACATGTCACATCACGGTTCAGAATTCAGGCCATTCAGTTTGGATGCCGTGGCCTTGGTATACCGTCTCAGACTGATCTATCATCTGCCCGCAGATGACTATTCTCGAGTTCCGGCCTCTAGAGCACCTGTACCTGTACACTGACTGCAAGGAACTCTCACCTCCCAACCTCAAGCCCTCCACCCACCACCCCTCCCCAGGCCCCCCCAGCCCTTCCACCACCACGCCCGTCCTTCACACTTCCCACAGTTCGCAGAACCCGCCCCGGCAGTTGCGCGCGCCACACGGCCGCGGCTGCCGACCGCCGACCGGAACAGCAGGCACCGCCGGCACCGCTGGGCATTGTTGACACTGGGACTGCTGGCACGGCTGGCAGGCGACGCGCCGCGCGCCGCGGCATCGCGGGCACCCGGCGTTGTGTGCGCCGTAGGGGGGGTGGCGAGCCGATGGGGTGGTGGCAGGTGGGGCAGGAGGTTGTCATGGGTTTCGTTTTCTTTTTTTTTTTTGGTTCTCTTTTGGCTGGGATGGGTGGTTTGTTCGGTTGTTAGTTTGGGAGGTGAGAAGGGGAAGGGAGAAGGGGGTGGAGTGTTGGTGTGGGAACTGTATATGTATACACGTACCGGTGGAAGAAACTTGGGAGAATGGTTCACGTGTGTAGGTGGTGTGTATCGATGTTGTGTTGTAGTTGTATGCTTAGATCTGCCGGCAGATCAGGGTAGGGAAGTAGGTGGGAGAAAAAGGGAGGGGGCGGTGAACCGTGTTTCTGTCTAAAGACAAGAGCATTCGATGCCCGGCTCAATATCCCCATTTTAATGCCATAAAGCTCACCAAATACCTCATCCTCTTAAGCTTTCTCGTCCTCACAGTACCGGCCATGTCCTAGCCCGATGACAAACCCGTTGACCATCGATAGAGTCTCACGTTGTCAGAGATCTGGTTAACTGTGCCCGCCCGACGATGCCGCCAGCCCGCTCTGTCCTTGTACTAACTGCACCACAATGGAATCCGTTGTTGCTTCAGTGTCGTGAGCTGATCTCGCTGAATTCCGTAGCTACATGCATTGAAAGGGGAAGGCTGCAACAGCCATGGCCTCGTGGCCTCAAACAGCCAACCGGCTGCCCTAAACATACGCCTCCCGGCTGGTATAATAACTATAGTGACACACGCAGTGCATAGCCTTCCCGGATTTTGGCCCCCAACCTTGGATTAATCCCTCCGCTTGAAAGCCTGCACAGTTAGATCATCGAGTGGAATTTTCTGATGAGAGATACCCCGGCGTCGAGTTTGTGCAACGCATGGAGGCAAGTTATACGACATGGCTTTTTTTGTTTGGGGGGGGAGGGGGGGTTCTCGTGATGGTGTTAAGCCGGCAGTAGAACACTGCGGTCGCCGGGCGTCAACCCGTTGCTGCGGCACGGCTGAGAGCATCCCTGGCCCGGCCGGACTCTGAGACTTGAAACAAAGGCGAAGTCCCGGAATCCGGAGCTATCAAACACGAGTCTGGGGTCGCCGAGCCAGATTTGTCACTTCCCGTTGGTACGCCGGTTTATAGCTCAGGGGCCCTTGAGGGCGTAGACAATCCGGTTCGTCATCCATTCCATCAGTCAGAGGAATCTTGGAACCTCAAGTCCGAGACACCATGCTACTCCCGTGATAAAAGTCATCTACAATCAATCACATTTGTTTGTTGCAAGGTACAACCCGTGCCACCAAAGTCCTATTGAAAATGCCGGATTGGACGCTGGAAGGATGGATGGCAGTGAAACGGCAAGTATTCGAATGGACATACAATTATTCGGCCGTCTTTAATTATCAAGGAAATTCAACTCATTGTCGTCATTGTCTCCGCTAAGGTGATTGATACACCCTCCGCATTGTTTTGTTTCCCCCTTTTTGCCCCACATATTTACCCCTTTTCCTTAAACACCCTCGCCGTTACTCCTTGCCTTCAAAACGCAACCAGATGAGGTAAGAAAGGAACGACACACGTACCCCAAAAGCCAATCACCTCCTCGGGTTGTTTTGCGTTTCATTGCCGCTGCCGGCTTGCGCTGTGGCACCCGTAGCGTTGCTTCGTCTTCTTGCCATTGGCGATGGAGCGGCGGCGTGCCCCTTTTGCCCAGGCCGCTGATCCTCCTCCTCAATAGAAGGCAGTATTCTGCGGGCTGTTTCCCCCGTGAGGGGTGGGTTTTGTGGCGCCGATATGGGTGATTCGGGCCGCAGTTGGCGACCTGCTGCCCGTTTTTGCGCGAGGGCACGCTGTTCAGTCCGTCGTACGTTCGTGGGCCTGAGCTGCGGGAGAACGCTGGGGCTGTTCTTTTTAGGTAGGCCATGCCCGTCTGTGACTAAAGTGCTGTTGAGGTGCTGCGGAACGACGGAACCCTTCTGTTCCAGGTGATCCCGTGGTTTGACACGGGGTGTCTTGGGTGACGGTGCTTCCAGTGAGTTGGACCGTGGAAGGGCGGCAGTGCCTCGTTTGTGGCTGGGATTCTGACCCGGGAGTGTCGTATCCGCAGCAGCTGCGACGGCGGCCCGGAATCTTGATGTCTGGAACTCCTTCTCCTCAATTGCCCGGATCTCGGACGATCGGAACGTCTGGCCGCTAAGCTCGCGCGACGATCGACCGCTAACATGGCCATCTTGATTTTGGTTTGAGCGCAGAAAGTCAAGTAACTCGTTTGCGTCCTCGATGCACTCGGCTGCCGGGAGTCGGTCTTCGGGATCTCGGGCCAGCATCTTCCGAACGTTAGCCACGAGCCGGTCACTGGGATTCCGGTTAAACATATTTTCTATTTCGTCAAAAGCAAAGTCTGAGTAGGTCGGCGGACGGTCTCCAGACGGGACCGGCAGCCCATTGTTCATCAGCGCGAACCCAACAACACCGAGGGCCCAGATATCGACGGCATTGGTGTAGCCGGCTCCCCATATCTCGGGAGCCATATAGGGCGCGGTACCGCAGATTGTCTCCATGCGGGAGCGGCTGCCGCCCTTTCTATTTGCCAGACCAAAGTCAGCTAGGGCAAGGGAGAGGGGGGTATTGCTGCGCAGGAGGATGTTGTCAGGCTTGAGATCGCGGTGTGTGATGCCTTGGTCGTGGATGTAAAGCAATCCTTCAGCCGTCTGCTTTAGAATCTCAGCAATTTCAGATTTTGTGAAGGGCCTTTCTCGATCCCTCATCATTTGTTCAAGGTTGCCGTGTTGGCAATATTCCATGACAAGAATCCAGCGGCCCGGCACATCTTCGTACCAGTCCATATACCTAACGATGCGTTCGTGTCTGAGGGATTGCAAGGATTCCATCTCCCTTCTCAGGTCTCTTTTGTTAGAGCCAGAGGTTGTGTTCTTTTTGTTTTTGAGCGTGGATTGGGAGTTGGACATGGATTGGAATCTGGGATTGGATTCGACGATTTGCTTCGCGGCGAAGATCTGCCAGTCTTGCACACGGCGCACCATATAGACGGTGCCGAACGAACCCCGCCCCAGCTCTTTGGCAAACCAGTACATATGTTGCCGCTTTTCGAGTGCCAAGTGTGAGGGGGTTGCGCTCCCCGTTGGGACCTGGGAGGCGACGCTCAAGCCTCCGAGGTCAGAACAATTGGCGAGAAATGCATCGCGCCTCTTGCGAAACTCATCTAGTCGGGGGCCGTCGCGGCTGGGAACTCGGATCTGGAATGCCAAACTATCCTTTAGTTTGAGGGTGACAGTGCACCCTGGGGGTAAGATGCATTTAAAGGGGATGCCGGGCTTCGGCCATGTCTCCTGCGCTCCGCGGTTACCCAGAGCCAGACTGCTTCCCCGCGAGGAGACATCGTACAAGACGACGTGATCACCTTCGACGGCAAACTTGATATGTTGGTTGCTGACGGAAGTGGAATTGCAGACAACGTCGGAGCACTTGGGGTCACGCCCGATGATGAACTGGGATCGCGATTGCCCCGGAGGGTTGGAGAAGGCTAGGACGATGGTGAAGGTCAAATCGCGTTCTTCCGTTCCAGCTCGCTCACGGCGGTCGAGCAACGCGCTACTAGAACTCTGGTCGAAGCGAGAACGGTTGGCTTGGACAAAGGGTCCGCAGCCTTCGAAGGCCGATAGTTTCAATGTGAGCACGATGTCTGATAGGGGCACCTTGCGGCCGTTCACAACGTATTCGTCAAGAGCCATCTAGAAAAGTAGTATGGCGAGTAGTTGTAAGAGTAGTGAGACTAGATAATGAGATGACGAGACGGTGTAATGTGTTCAAGGTCCGTAGAATGGGCAATCCTTTTGGATTGCCCAAGGTTTTAAACCCATCGGTATGAGCACTGTAGCACATGGGGGGGGGGGGCTTTGGGCTCCATGACGGGCCTCTCACAGAATACGAAGATTGTTGCTGAGGACTTCTGTGGTGGAAGGGTGCGGTCTCGTGGCCCAACGACCCAGAGGGTGAGGTACTGCCGTTGCCCGGTCGGGGTCACCGCAAGGGGAGAAGGGAAAATGAGCTGGGGTGACATAGGTAAAGAGGGCTCAAGTTGGTTGGAAGAAGGGAAAGCCGCAATTTTTGGTGAGACGGGGGCGAAAGGGGCGAAAAGGGCAAAAGGAAAAAAAAAAGGGGAAGAGGGTGGGAGGGGAGGGGGTGGGGTCACGAAAGAGGTTGCAGGTTTTATCTGCGCGTGAGGTTAACAGAGGCCGGTTTATCGAGTTTCATGAACCAAAGGGCTGACGCCAATGGACGTAACATCAAAACTTAAATCATACCAACAACACAATACAAT